TACTACTACTACTACTACTACTACTACTACTACTACTACTACTACTACTACTACTACTACTACTACTACTACTACTACTACTACTACTACTACTACTACAACTACTACTACTTCTTCTTCTTCTGCTTCTTCTGTTTCTTTTTCATCTTCTTCTTTTTCTACTTCCTCCTTCTCCTACGCCTCCTCCTTCTATTCTTTGTCTTTTTCTTCGCCTGCTGAAGTTTCAAGCTAGGCAGCGATATCTGCATAATTTAGCCCACCATATCCTAGTTCGTCGCCTTTTATCTCATGCTTGCTAAGCGACGGTAAGCTTCCCTCCATTCCCTCTCCATTTGGGCACCTGAACCAATACAGGGACATTCCATTTTATCCTGTGCAGTTTTTGGAAAGCCTGTATGGAACACAGACCTTCAACTTATTCGCGTCACGTCCTATCGTGTGCTGCCACGCGCAGTTTATCCTATATCCTCAACATCATATTTTTCCTAATCCTGTTTTCCATAGGACATTTTACTAAGCTTTCTTTTCTTTTCAGCCGCTGTAGCTCACTGGCTAGACGCTCGCTTGTAGGCTCAAGGGTTGAAATCTGCACTGAGATGGATTACCCCCCCCCCCCCCCCCCCATCAAAAATGATATTGTCCCAGATTAATCCAACCTAAAATGGGTACCAAGTCATTTCCTGGAAGTAGCAGCCGCTGTCGTGCTGTTGGCCATGACACCGTTGGACTAGTTCTTCTTCTTCTTCTTCCTCCTCCTCCTCCTCCTCCTCCTCCTCCTCCTCCTCCTCCTCCTCCTCCTCCTCCTCCTCCTCCTCCTCCTCCTCCTCCTCCTCCTCCTCCTCCTCCTCCTCCTCCTCCTCCTCCTCCTCCTCCTCCTCCTGCTGCTGCTGCTGCTGCTGCTGCTGCTGCTGCTGCTGCTGCTGCTGCTGCTGCTGCTGCTGCTGCTGCTGCTGCTGCTGCTGCTGCTGCTGCTGCTTCTTCTTCTTCTTCTTCTTCTTCTTCTTCTTCTTCTTCTTCTTCTTCTTCTTCTTCTTCTTCTTCTTCTTCTTCTTCTTCTTCTTCTTCTACTACTACTACTACTACTTCGAACTTTGGCTTTGTACCAGGGCCTGAGATTTGCATGTACATCCGTTTTACTGGCATATTTGTATGTAGTTGGTTGTTCCTTGGACTACTGATTCATCATCATGTAGCAGGCCGCTTGCACAACATCGCACTCCTCGAGGTCTGCCTGAAACAAACTCGGTCTCACACCAGCTCTTCCGCTTTGTGCATATTCCTAACCAATGTGTCACTTAAAACGTGTGCCCCATCTTCGAGCTGGTCGAACTATGTCCCTTTCTTCCTGCCATAGTGACTTCTGCTTTTGTTTTTCAAATCTGATATTTCTAAAACATTTCAGTTTCCGAGCCAAGATGATGTTTACTGACATACCTGCCTCGATGTTCTGATCTTTTAGGATGTCAATATTTTCATTTTTTTATGTTTGCCTATTGTATTCTGAGAATCCATCTCTAATATTTCATCTGAAAAGTCCCTATTTTCTTTCTTAAATACTAGTTGGTCTATGAAAACATAGGGATAACACAGTATACCAAATGAGCCAAGCTTTATAAAAGGATCGGTCATATACTTTAACTAATTCTGTTGAATTAATTAGTTGGTTGGTTAGTTAGTTAGTTAGTTAATCGACAGCTTATCCTCACTGCACATCGGACAAGTCCATAAGCGCTCGGATCCCATCTTCAGTATATCCCTCAGCGTGAGGTGACTGATAACACCGGTTCTGTCTTGGTTTACTACTCTTCTTTGGCTACCTGTACAGTGTTAATGTTTGACGAAACCTCTTTTGACCTAAAATTCTTGTAGTGTTTTGAGTGTTACCGATTTAATGTCGTCTCCTGAATCAATTTTTGGCCCTGCCTTCTTGCGAGCATGGAGAATGTCGGTGCAGTTTATTGCTATTCCTGTACCTACCGTTTCCCTGCCAGCAAGCCAGTCTGATCGTCTAAATTAGTTGCTGGTTCACTGCAACTCCCCCCCCCCCCCCCTCTATACCCGCCACCTTTTTCCCCCGTTTACCATCTAACCCCTGGCGGATTATTATACATGCCATTCTCAATTTTCCAAACGCCACAAGCAAATTACAAAGCTCCATCTGAGGAACTTTACAGGTTCATGTTGTATGTATGCCAACATCTGAATGATGGAATAAAACAACAAACTAAAGAGATCTACATATTTAAGATCCCGCAGACCAGTCTTAAAGAATTTATGTTTTTGCCACAACATCTGAACTTGACTGAGTAAAATAACAATAACAGAATACAGCTTTGTAAACATGGCATAATGTTAGGGGATTTATTCTGTCACGTCAACATCTGATTGTTGAGCCGCGCTGATCAATTCTACATCTGTGTAAACATGTAAACAGTGTCAGGAAGGCGTGAGTCAGGCTGGCAATGTGGAAAACATGCAGTGGATTATGTTGTTGTTGTTTAAAAGTTAAAAAAAAACCCAAAGAATCCCCTTTGCGCCAGTGATTGGACGAATGAAGCTGGACTCATTTTCTATAGACCTTCATATGTGATGTGGTCAACATAATGCCAGCCGCCTTTACATCCCAGGACTTCAGCTGGTCATATGTTAAGCCAGGCCGACCTGGTAGCGAGATTCAAGGCAGATTTGAAGTCATGATCTTCTGATGGGAGTGAAAGCGTCCAACCGCTCTAATTGCTTGTGGTTTCTTGACAACTGTCTCAGAAGAGTCTACACCCATGTTTCCAAAACTGTTCTTGGTCGCGGCGCCTTTTTTTTTTTTTAATTGAAATGTTTTCACAGAGCCCTAACCTAAGTAAAAGTATGACTATTCGTGTCTTGGTCAAATTAATTATGAAGCTTTTAGAATATCTCGCGGCGCCCCTGTGAAGAGGTAGCGGCTCCCCGGGTCGCCGTAGCGCAAAGTTTAGGACCACTAATCTACACCGTAATTTTCTTTGTGCGATGCACATCACCCTTGCTTAGATTTTTTGAGGTCCATGGTTTACCTTCGTGGCATCCTATTCTTTTTCGTGTTGTTGATATTGTTGCTGTTGTTGTTATGATTCTTCTTCTTCTTCTTTTTCATCTACTCCGTCGTCGTCTCTTTGCCTTCTTATTCTTGCTCCTCTTGTTCTTGTTCTTCTTGTTATTTTTTTCTTGTTTTTCTTGTTGTTGTTGTTGTTGTTGTTGTTGTTGTTGTTGTTGTTGTTGTTGTTGTTGTTCTTCTTCTTCTTCTTCTTCTTCTTCTTCTTCTTCTTCTTCTTCTTCTTCTTCTTCTTCTTCTTCTTCTTCTTTTTTTTTCGCGTTCACCGGCGTAAAGTTACTGTTTTCATCCACTTCTTGACTTTAATCTTGTTTTAGTGCCTAAGTTTTGTGTGCTCACCCATTTTACAAATCTGGATGTATGCAGGCTGTTTGTTCCTCGCCTCTTAGGCAGCACACAGGGCTAGACCTATATTTTTATAGACCAATCGGCACTCAGTGGCTGATGTGGTCAACATCATGCAGGCCGCCTTTACTTTCAAGGACCTTACCTGGTGCCCATTTAAGGCTAGGTCGACCCGGGAGCCAAGGTCATTTTTAGAAAACTTCTGAACATACGACCTCTGGGATACTCAGGTGTTCGTCTAGCCGCTTTGGAACGAATAAGACATTTAAAATAATATGTACAGTTTGCTGTTCGTGTTTTCTTATTTGAAATTTACAACGGGAATATGCTGGTTTACAAATATGCAACTGCAAGGATTCAAAACTGATTCATACAGAACTTACCAGTTCGAGTTTGGACGCCCGACTCTATAGAAAGGACAGAGCTATTTAATTGCGGTCGTCTCAACAAAAGGCTCCGTAATTCATTATTTACATTTTAATTAGGAATAATCTTAGCACAGCGATAAAAGGTGAGACAGCCGGCTTTACTGCCGCGGGGTTTATCTCCTCAGGTTCGCCTTTTCAGAGAGCGTCCCATAAAAGACGAGCTCCGTAGCTCCAGCAACAATCTCCTGGATCTCCTGAGACATTCTCTTTTTAGGTATTTGTCAGTACATAATAATAATGATAATTAATATTATTATTATTAGATAATTAATATTATTATTATTATTACGCACTTGTACATCTTTTAAGCCTCCTTAAAATTTGTAAGAGGCTGAGGCTGTGTGGCTTAGAGGTTAGTAATCGCGTTTCACAATTCATAAGGATCTAGAGTTCGATTTACTTCTGCTGACGTTTTCTAAAAAAAAAAAAAAGAAAGTCCGTCCTCGTGTGTTTCGGACAATGGTACAAGAGTTGCGCCGTAAAAGAGCTCGCAGCATCATTAGGTAACATCCTCAGCGAGAGCTAAGGGTGCACATACCTGCTGCAGCCAGTCACATTTATGGACACGGCACAACGTGATCTGAGCTCGGCAGCAGCCAGCCCACCACACATGTTGGGCGGGTGGGGGGGGGGGGTTGTATCATGGGTGCTGACACCCTCAGGAAAGTTTGCAAAAATGTATAAGTACCCGCACTCCCCCCCCCCCCCCCCCCCCCCCCCCCCCCCCCCCCCCCCCCCCCCCCCCCCCCGCCCCCCCCCCCCCCACCCTCTCAACTATTCTTTTTTTTTCTGTACAATTTTTTTTTTCTTTTTAGTGATTATACACTTCATGCTATTTCAGAATCAGTAATTTAATTGTTTGCCATTCAGTCCTAATGATAATTATTATGTTTATTATGTACATAAACAAGGATCAGACCAATTGAGGCCTTCTCTGAACATTTATAGGAAGAATTATTTCTTTCTCCCCCTCCCCTCCCCCCCCCCTCCCGCCCAACACACACAAAATTATGTACGCGCCCCTGAGGAAGAAAAAGAAGAAGAAGAAAAAGAAAGAGGAGGAGGGGAAGAAGAAGAAAGAGGGGGAGATGAAGAAGAGAACGAGGAGGAGAAGAACGATAACCAAAACACTCTGAACTTAC